GGTGCACTAGACCGTTCCTGTTTTCATGCAAGGAGGGAGCCAGCACTAGTGGTTTAGGAGTGTTAACATCCCTACCAGCTGTTTTTTCAACGCTGACAGGGACGCGGGGGATAAAAAATGATTGGATCCTTGTGATGACCATGGCTTATTATTCCACCTATTGTTTGATGCTAGTTGTGTCCTTGTGTGGGTTTCGTGTGTACTGCATTTTGGGTTAGTTCCCAGCAGACTTGTACCATACATCCGGTCGAAATTTGTTTGTGTGCCATACTCTGAAGACCCTGAGTTGTTGGTAGCCGAGTTCTGACTGTTACCGCTTGTACTATTGAGGGTGACATCGTTGTGACATTGGATATTAGTGTGTGCCACGGTGCGATTTAGCACGTTGTGAGTGCTAATACTATTAACCGTGGGGAGTGTGGGCTTATTTAAGCTGCCACTGTTTTTGTTGGTATGATTTAGGGGCATATTTTCCTTATCTTTACCAATGGAATTATAGCTAGGAGAGGACAAAGTCGAGTTTCGGGGGGTTTTAACTTTTTTTCTGGGGTTATTTAGTGGCATTTTAGATTCTGCGGTGATGGGTGGTATGGTTTTATTATTTATTTGGTTACAGTCTAGTGGCCTTTCGGCTGGTGTTGCACTCTGATGGGACATTTCTGTGTGTTTTGAGAGGGGTGATGCGGTGGGGTCTACTGTATCTTTCACAGGGTTGGGGATAATGGCTTGCTGCAATGTCCTATTACCTATTTCACAATTAGTCTTAGTGAGATAGTTGTGTGCGCGCCTTTCTATAACTGTTTTGTCCACCCCGACCTTTATATGTTTGTAGTTTCTGGCTTGCGATAGGGTGTGTTGGGAGTGAATGAATTTTCTGGTCTCTGCCGGTGTTTCGAACTGAAATCGAATAGGACAACACTTTTCATGTTGACTCTTCTTCAGCCTGTAGCACTTAGTCTTGGAGTTAGGCATTTTCGCTTCACTAAGTAAGATGCGCTGTACCTTTTTTATTGCCTCATTGTCCGGAACGTTGTAGACAATAGCACTGAGTTTTGCGTCGAGTCGTTTTGTTACTTCTGTGGTAACAAAGTTAATGAGGTTATCTACCTTAGTTACCGATTCTGTGTCAAGCTTGTTAAGGTTTACCGTTTTCATGAGGATAGTTAGAGGTGTCAGTCCACAGACCTGCGATCTGATATCGCTGATCTGATCTGATAATTTGGATATCTCGGTATTGGTTTCGATGTTTCCAGCATTTACTGACTTGCTGTTTTTTATTTCCCTTAACTCAGCCTTAAGTTCTCCTATAGACAACTTTAGAAGTTCTATTTCTGAAGATAGTACTGAAAAAGAGCTTGATGGCTGGAGTTTCTCCATAAGCACATAAGGTGAAGGGAGGAGTTCTGTATGAGCAGAGGGTACCGAATTTTTAGGAGTAGTGCTAATACTGGCTGTCAGTACAGTTTTATTTTCAGTTTCAGCTCGACGCTTACGGCATACACGTGAGTTATGTGACTCACTATAGCCGTTTGTTGGGGGTGTGTTGCTTGATGTAGCAATCAAGGACGTTAAATTAGACACCAGTTTTACAGGGGATTGGGTTCGCTGCTTTTTACTTTGATTAACCATAACTATTAGAAATAAGAGTTAGTGGTTACAAGTATGGAAGTGGTATAGTACTTGTGCAAGTACTACAACAAGATAAATTTTATGTAACGAATCACGTAAAAATGTAACGCAAACGTTGAACGTACCGCGATACAGAGATGCTAAGGGAAAATTTGGCCGAAACCTACTGCAAACTATTCGAAACACGGGACTGACTGAGAATGTTGGAGACGACACTAGGTGGGGCCCTAGTGGAAAGTCATCAAAACTAGATTATATTCTAACTAGTGACCAGCTACTCGTCGAAAAGGTCCAGATCATGACTCCTCTGGGAAGCAGTGACCATGCAGTCATAGGTTTCGATCTTGTCCTCCGTGAGCGTTTGCAATGGGATGTTACGCGACCATGTCTGTGCTACAGCAAGGCTGACTATGCTGAAATGCGGAGGCTCTTGTCCGACGCAGACTGGCCCTTAGCATGGGACGACCTATCTGTGGATGAACACTGGGAAGTGGTAAAAAAGATTATCCATACAGCAATCTCGGATACCGTCCCATTAGTCACAACACAGCCTAAGAGAAAGACGTCATGGTTGAAGAGAGGCACGCAACGTATTCTGCAAACAAAGCGGAAGGCTTGGTTTACGTGGCGTGTATCTAAGAGTCAGACCGACCATGATGCATACCTCGAACTCAGGAACCGGTGTAATGCAAGAGTCAGGAGGGACAGAAGGTCATTCCAGGCTAACCTTGCTAAAAAACTCCTGTCAAACCCTAAAAACTTGTGCCGATTCATGTCGGAAAGAAAACCGACAAACCAAGGGGCATGCGCCTTAGTAGGCCCAAACGGTCAATATCTCACTAGTCTGGAGATGGCTGAAACATTCAGTTCAGCCTTCGCTAAACCGCTAAACAGCCATGTGGATATTACAGTTACGGACCAAAATGGTGGCACCACTATTTCAGAGGAGGAAGACCTAGCGACTACTCCCCAAATAAACCCCGCAATAGTACTAAGGAAGCTACAGCGACTCATACCTGGGAAGTCCCCAGGTTGTGATGACATCAGGCCATCTGTTCTGAAACAGTGCGCCGAGGCTCTCTGTAGACCCCTGTGCGACTTGTTCCAACACTCAATGGATTCGGGGACCCTGCCAAGGGAGTGGAAAAGAGCCATCCTTTCTCCAATCTTCAAGGGTAGGGACAGGCAAAACGCTGCTAGCTATAGACCAGTAGCTCTACTCCCAGTGGTATCAAAAGTACTGGAAAGTATTATTGACGACCACATCAGGGGATATTTCGATAGGACTAATATACTACATGAAGCCCAACATGGTTTCAGAAAAGGCAGATCCTGCGTCACTAACCTACTGTCAGCTTGGGACGACTGGACATCATGCTGGGATATGAATGTACCAGTCCATGTGGTCTTCCTAGACTTTGAGAAGGCATTTGACACCGTTCACCATGACCTTCTCCTACATAAAATAAACCAGGCAGGCATAGGTGAGCCACTTCTGTCATGGTTGAAGGACTACCTAGCCGACAGGCAATTTTGCACTAAGGTTAACCGAGTCCGATCATCTTGGCACAGATCGTCATCAGGAGTGTCACAGGGTTCTATCCTAGGACCACTGATGTTTTTGATTTTCATCAATGATCTACCACGCCGTCTGAGCTGCCCGACTCTCCTGTACGCTGACGATGTAAAAATATGGAGGGCGATAAAGTGTCCGGAGGACTCAGATAGGCTACAGGAAGACCTAAACCTTGTAGAAGACTGGGCGGTGGCCAGTGGCATGACTTTCAACTTGAAAAAGTGCAAAGTAGTGAAGTTGCGCACCTGTAGACTGCAGAATGCAAGTTACACCCTGTGCAATGAAAGCTTGTCCTGCACAACGTCGGAACGCGACTTAGGTCTAGTTCTAACGGAAAAAATGGACGCAAGCGTAAATTACACAGGGGATGTAGCGAGGGCATATGCGGTCATACACTTTACGCATAGACAGTTAGGTGCACTCACTCCTGAGCTCTTTCTAATGTTGTACAAAACATACGTCAGGCCACACCTTGAGGTGCATAATATTATTGCACCCCCAATGCTGAGAAGAGATGCCAACCTCTTGGAAAGAGTCCAACGACGGGCAACAAAAGGAGTGGTTGGTCTCCGAAACAAACCATATGATGAAAGGCTGAAGAAATTAGGCCTGTTCACACTTAGCTACCGTCGGCTGAGGGGGGATTTGATTACTGCCTACAAAATAACAAATGACCAGAATCACCCAAACAAAGGTGTTCTGCCATTTAGTAGGTATAGGCTCTCATGTGGAAATCCCAGAAGGATAGCTCACCAGAGGGCAAGGACCCGGGTGTGCTCCCACTTCTTTTCACTGCGGGTTTGTCGTCCCTGGAATTCCTTACCGGCAGATGTAGCTATGGCACCGTCTTTGGACGCCTTTAAGCGAAGGCTGGACAACCATGCAGCGATACAAGGACTGCATCCAAATGGCCTATCTCCTTAAAATCGCATTTACCAATCAGGGTAGATAATTAAACTCGTTACTTTACTTCTTTACATTCTCTCCCGTCTTACTCTCCTGACAACTTATGAATATTATAATTACTACTATTATTATTACTATTACCGATATATATATTATTCTTCAAACTTAATGAGCTGACTCTTGTTACGTTTCCTATTTTCGTTTCTGTCTCTTAGTGTGAATAGCTTCACTAATTATATCTATTATTATTATTACTATTATTATTATTATTACTATCTCTTTTCTCTTGTCGACAATACTGAAGGACTAACTGGCGAAAGGATCAACTCCAATCACAGTAGTAACAGTCTTAACATACCTCATACTACAAACCACATATAATTAATCCCAGCACTACCCCCTTTGGAGTCAACCAAAGCTACGACAGTCGAGTGGCGGGACAAGCTACGCAGAAGTTTACCGAAGATCAAGAACCTATACCTCACAATCAAGAAGCGAGCACAAAGAAATCAAATTGGTTTATACTAGCTCGTAAAAACGATATTGGATATTGGAACACATTCCATTTGCTTGAGCCAGGTTTCAGTTTATCGCCGATTAAATTGACTTCAAATGATTTATTCAGTTGACAGTGAATCACACTTATGTAGGAGGCCGGTGACTTCAAAGTATGAAATAGGTCAATAATGTAACAAATTCTAAAACGATGAACGCCACATACATTCGGGACTAAGTTGTGGTGGCTATTTTGGTTTTTAAAGAATTTTCTTGAACACTCAAAATAATTTCAAAGTGAATAAATGAGTGCTCAGTTCAATGAATACTTTTTTCAGATGAATACACAGATTTCTACATTTTGTTTGTTTAAATAAATATACGGCGAAAGTTCATGCTTTTTAGGTCATAACATTTTTTCGAAATACTTCACATGATTCCTAGAATTCGCTAAGGATGGACGAGTTAGAGGCTACCATTAACTGGGAACTATTTCGCAAAAAAGTATGACACACGATTTCGATAATTTTATGTTAGGGGGAATTTGAATCCCTCAAACGTTTTGGAGATATCATGTGTAAAAAGTACAATTTTCATGACAACGGCAGAAAAACTTTGTAAGTGTTTTTAAGTTAGTGTTTAATGCTACACTTTGTTTACGTACCTTTTTATTTCTTAAGACTGACTTAATCATGTCCAATAAATTTAATGTTTCCTTCTATTAAAAAGTAATAATATTCGTTTTTCGCACATCTGCACCGAAACCTATTTGATTCACTTTATTTTTCCCGCTGTGTATGTAAAAACAAAATTCATACACTGCAAATCACTGTACGCGAGATAAAGCTGCTTAGTTTAGTCACAACTGATAGGTATATAAGTATGTATATAACTGTTTATAAAACACATGTTATATTCTCGGATTTGAACTCAAAATGCTTCTGTTTAAAGATAAAAGTTAGGAAACCTGTGTAATTCAGTAAAGGCTAAATTAAAGAAATACTCAAAACAGGCTTTAAGGTGTTTTTGAATTTGTAGGACAGTATAGGAATATATAATAGAATATTGGACTAAAATTCTTACTCAAGTTAAAGAAAATTAATATAGCACCCCTTGAAAGCTGGATGTGTGAGTGTGGGAATATATCACGTCTAATTAGCTGGTTCCCATAGCAGAGGCATAAAAAGCCTTTTGAAAAATAGAATTCTTTGGTAGGTTGTTTTCTACAAGTTGTGTCTAGTTTTTGTTTTCATTGTGCCTCTGAGCAATTTATAACTTTGAAAGTTATTCGTCACAGGGAAAAAATTAAATCTGTCTTCACTAGCCAAAGTTGAGTCTCTGAAAATTTCCGCTGTTTATGTTATTGATGATGTCTAGTGATTATGACAAGTTCTTTCAAAGATTGTGATAAAATAAGTGAGGTTTAAGTTGAGCACACCGATGCAAACTGAATGTTGCGCAGATAAATTTGATACAGTAGATAATGTCTAGCTACTGAAAACCACGCCCCATCATTACTATAACTGAAAATCACTGAGGCCGTTTACTCGGAATATTATGACGAGTTAAAAAAAACTTTTAATTATTATTGGCAAATGATAGGCAGCCATTTTTGACTTCTACTTCATGGAGCAATATATATGAAGTCAATCTGAGTGAAAAGGCAAAGGTAATTATAGTGAACTTAGCCTTGTGTAGTGTTATTAATATTGCTGAAGATGGAAGTACTGTAGGCCTGAAATGCGGAATCTTATTGTGTACAGAAATTTGTTCCTAAATCCGTAAGTAACTTTGGTGACCAAATAAACTTGTGATTCTTATCATATAGTCTTTCATTACATTTATTCAAATCTAGAGGTGTAATGATATGGCAAACAATGGTGATTAATCGATTATAATTGCATGGAAACTTACTGAAATCTTCCACACTACCTAGCTAATATGAAGGCTTTCAAAATAATGAGATAGAAGTGCTGACTTGAATTCATAACTTTTGTTTTGACTAAATAGTTATCGGACATTTGGATTCAAAAATGACCATAGTAACTTAGAAGCTACTGAGATGTTTTTATCTTAAATTATTGAAATATTGTGCCATGATATATTGTATTTTAATGTTATACCATTGGTCTTCGAAGAATTACACCAAATAACTTAAACGCATGGAGCTTAAAGTTGAGATTAAGTGATAAATTCAGATGACTCAGAAGGTTGTTCATATTAAATTTTGCACTCTAATGAATCGCCAGCTGACGTCCTTTAGAGTGGAAATTTAAGTTAAACTAAATCTTGATCTATTGAAGAAATTCAATGGTATCACTACAAATTATTTATCTTACATGTTACGGAGTCAGGCATAAAACGAAACTGTTAACCAAATCAGCACATATCGTGAATATTTCGAAGTCGAGCTCTTTATTTAAAGGTAGCTTCTTAGGAAAAAATGTTTCAGATATGGGAAATACAATAACTAAGTTGACGTAATTAACTACTACTAGTTAGTGGAGTTTCTTTCGATCTACGAGAAGAATGTATAACCAGCAGCTTCTTAGTTTAGGAGGCAGTTTAGAAAAGTTAATGTATGAGTATTTATTTTTAATTTTCTGGCAATCTGCATCACAATTATTTAAAGACTATAAATGAGTGCCAACAATAAAATGGGAAACAAAAACGAGAAACTTACCACATGCCTTTATAAACCATAAAGCATACTGAAAATTGAAAAAAAGTAAACTGAGAAGTCATGTAAGAGGCCTTACTTTTGAAGAATTTCTCAGTTCCAGTGTGGTCTTGATGGGAATCCTTAGAATTTTTGAATTCTGAGATTATTTATCAAGGAATGGCGATATTTTGCTTCAGTCACCAGATTTGACTTAGTATCTTATTCGTTTTGAATTACTAAATTGTTTTACGAAAAGAGTCTGATTGTCAGTAAGACTTTGCAGCCTTACATTATTTTTAGAAGGCTTCTGTTAGTGGTCTCATAAGATAATGACAGTTTCCGAATTGCCATCATTTGCTGAAATACGATAAAGTGTGATCTATTAGTGACTTCATTCAATCAGAACTTCATCAACTAATTTTTTTCACTTTCGTTGATGTCTTAAAGGGGTTAACATTACAACCTTTGCTTCCACATTGCACCAAATGAATTGTGGTTTCATCTAAATTGTGCAGCATAGTCCTCACGTAGCCATTTGGGGGAGTTGTTTGCAGAAACGTCAGTCAATAAAGCTAATTGGAAATATCTGTAAATTCTGTAATAGTCTAAAACCACTTGATTTTCTGAAAGTAAATTTTTATTTCCACTTTCTTAAGTGGCTAAACCCTAGAGATTTGTCCAGTTAGGAGTTCATCAAACTCGTTATATAATGCCTTCACTTTAGGGATATATGTGTATATCAGGTTCCTACATTAATACAACCAATCCATTCTTAAGTCTAAACGTCTAACAGCGGTATGAGTTAAATGTTTGTCATTTTGAGCTTTTAGGGCTGATTTCGCAATGGACCAGAATAATTCAGAGAGAGAGAAAGACACTGTGAGTCGGTGGCATAACAGCGAAAACGCTTGCCAATCATGTACATGGTCTGGGGTTCGACATTTAGTCGACGCAGACCTGATATTAATGGTCGACCCTCTAAACTTGGCCTACCGATATCATATGCTGAAAATTCCATAAATCTACCAAAATACTATGTAGAATCAATTTACAATAAAAAAATGCACACAGTTGTTGAAATTTTCTCCTACTACTCCAAGACTCCACAGTGGCACAAACCAATGATTTCAGATGGGACTGAGAGCAGAAGCTTCCTGGTCGTTCGTATTCAAACCCTGGGTTGCGTAATGCCATTATCATTGAATGTCATCCGTGAGTGTGAGAAACAAACAACAACTAATCTGAAATCAACTGAAGTTTCAAAATCCCAATATTCGATTATTTTATATCTAAGATTATTTGTTAAACTTTGATAAAAACTTTAAAACTGAACTCAAAGATAACAAATACTGGCCAACTGACTCAGTAATTTTCCCCATATAAATTTGTCATGGGACAGTCACTAATTATATGTTCTGTAAGTAATGATCAAACCAGATAGAATCTTGAAGAATTTATGTGTCATTTATTTGAATTGAGTCGACACTTAACAAATAGTTAGGCCTTGTAGACCGGTGTCCTGGGTACACAAATTGTCAACCTCAATATCTCAGTCTGCAACACTGTCAAGAAACACTGTCCGTATTCACAGGAACCTGAGTTGGCAAACGACAATTTGGGCATCATTTTGAGCTGATATAAAGTAGATTGTGTTGAAACAAAATAAAAACTGACAGGCTATCGTGGAACTGACTGAGAAAGATAACAGAGGACAGAATGGAAGGGGAATGTGTTTCTGAAGCCCTCTGTGTTTCACTCATAATAATACTTTTTACGAGTTGACCACGGATTGATATCAGTTAGAGAACCATTGAAAACCAATCAGCAGGGAGTACTTGACAGCTGTTTCATCCCAGTTTGGGAATTATCAGCAGTACGCACCCAGTGGGGTTCGAACTCTTACAAACCAAACTATAGAAAATTAATCTGATGCTCGCTAGTCAATTGCTACAGGATGGAGTTTACTGGAGCTCTGGTGAGAAGTCATGACCAGTGAGGTCCAGTCAAGTTTGAGGATGGATGTCCTCCCACCGACGACACTGGTTGGGGTCGCGCTGAATCACAAATTGGTAGAAGTTAGAATTCATGAACTGGTCATTGAATTGGGTCCCAGTGGCTGAATAGTATACGAGCTAGCTCGCCTTGTAACCGGAAGGTCCCGGGTTCGAACCCTTGTGGTGGGTGCGTACTGATGATGATTCCCAAACCAGCATGCAACAGCATCTGTCCAGTACTCCCTGTGGCTAGTTTTCAATGGTTCTCTAACTGATATCAATCCATGATCAACTCATAAAAAAGAAAACTAACCCTTACAAACCAAAACTATAGAAAATAATAATACCAAGAATTCATAGTAGTTTTTGTCACGAAAATGATATCAATTAGAGAATAAGTGAAAACCAGGGAGCCTTGGTTATCTCGGTAGTTTTCGGGAAATCTACTCTGATCCTCGTTCTTTGTAAAGTCTACAAGGAATTACACTAGACAGAGACAGAGGTGGTTGCCAACAGCTTTTATTTACGCACTATTAGGTGTATTAAACATGTGAGCACTATCGTTGCACACGATCGGTGTATATTAATTTACTTCTTGGATAAATCTCATAGTAGAATAGTATATATATATATATTCTTAACTAAATAATGTTTTGTACACAATTTATCGTCGCTAATAATCACATTGATTATGATATAATGTGATTATGAATAATAAATTGTGCTCAAAACGTCATCCAGTAAAGAATCCTATTTTATTATGTGATAGGTATATACATGTACATATATTCAATAAATAAATTCAATGTTGAGTTTGTTTATGTATATTGATTGTGTTTGAAAAAATGATTGAGTTAAATTAATCATAAAAAAGTTCTGTTTATCAGTCAAAGATGGTTGAAAAATAGTTCACGTGAGGAAATTTTTTTAGATATCTGTTTTTGTCGACTGCTTTTCCACG